ACCTAGAACTGTGGGTAGGTGCTCAGGAATGGTATTCAGTAAAAGAGGGGCAAAACAGGTGTTTCAGCACCTGCTCATTGCTCATAGCACACAACCTAAAGACTGGGAGAGAGATTTGGAGGGAATTGTCTCTGTCCCTTAGTATCCAGATAGCTACAGAGACAGGATGAGGAAGGAGGTAAAATGAACTAACTAGAAAAAGATGGGTCCTGATTAGTTCTTCATTCTTCCACTCTAACTACCAGCAAATACCTAACCGGTCCTTTAAATTTAAATGAAATATTTAAGTTGTAATGTTTACTCTAATAAGGAATACCCACACCTCTGATAATAGTGGTAGCTTTTATTCTCAAAGCCAAAATATGAATGAGCGTGGAGCAAGAGGTAGAGGGACAGAGATGAGAAAGAGGTAAAGGAAATGAGGAAGAGAAAGAGTATTCGGTAGATACTTCTTTTTCTTGATTTTTTTCTTAAAAGTAAGGTAGCATTCAAGATAATCTGACAAAGATGGTAACTAATGAAGTAAATAAGGACTGCATTTTTATGTACCTTTGGACTGGCCACATGGAACAGCACTTTGTCAGTGGCCGTGTTTTAGCAAGTGTGTGTTTAATGTTTGATAGCCAAAGAACACCCTTTCTAAAACCTTAGGTTTCAAATATTTTTAGTGGGAGGAAATCAAAGAAACAGCCCCAAATCTCAAACCCCAAGAAAAATAAAGACCTCCAAGAAAGTACTCAGGATTCTCTCATTGTTCTGTTCACGCCAACTCAGAAAGTGAATATACAGTTTGGATTATTAAATCACTTTTTTTAATCTAACATTTTTACCTAAAAGTAGGAGTAATGAAATTGATCAGAAAAAAAACAATGAGTACAGTATATGACAGCAACCACCGTTTTAGAAACAATAGCCACATCTGGTGGAGAATGTGGTGATGGAAGGAACTCAGCGGTCGGATAACAGCACCTCCGCCCTCTGAGTTGCATTGAAGGCCTGAGACCCCGTCCTTAGCATAGCGTGCTTCTGCCCACGGAATAGTCAGTGGTCATTTCATTGAGGTGAATTGGAAATGCTGTCCTATGGCAGACCCTGATTTTATCATTCAAGCCAGAGGCCAGGTTAAAAGGAACCTTAGAAAGTCCCGATTTTGCAGGTCAAAAGCAGATGGAAAACAGTAAGCAATTTCATATGTGGCTTAACCCTCCAAACAGTGCTTTAGCAGGAGCATTTGAAAAGGGAGCTGTGTAGGGAACGTAATAGGTAAGCATAGGCAACTGTTGACGGAACGTACAGCATTGCCGCATCAGTGCTGGAGGGGTGAGGTGGAAGAGGTGCCTCTGAATTTCACTAAGTCATCCAAAATCTACTGACTGCAGTGCCCTCTGGTTGCTCCTGCTAAAAGCCGCTGCCTTTTTCTTCTGAGGGAATTCTTGATGAAAAATACCTGAAGAGCAGCTCTTGACCCTGCAGATTTTTGCATGTGTGAGCATACGTGTGTCCTCTTCAGTGTGTGTGCAAGCAGACCTTATTTCCCAAGATTCCCAGTGAGGCTGGCCTTGCCCCTGAGCCGCCTTTGGCAGCTCTGACAAAGCCATTCTGTTTGGTGAGGCCTGCAGCCAGAGCCCAGTGCAAGTGAGGCTGCCTTTAAGCAGGATGAGATCCATTGCTGTTTTGTGTGCGCGGTTGTGCGGGAGGCTCCCATTGAGAAAACCCTATGGATGACTTGAAAAATTCATTAATGTTTTGAAAAGGGCCATGATTTTTTACCTGTTGTAAGCTAATGTGTGAACAGGCAAGATATCTTTATACTTTCACTGAAAGATAATTTCAGAGTGTTAAGCTGACTGGAAAACTCTGATATTATTTCATAATTATGGAATTAACCCTAAGAAAATAAGTTTATAACTTGGGATTTTCCCTCCACAATTTTTCTCTCAAGTGGTAGCTCATTGATTATTCGGAAACTGAATATTAATGAACAGATTTATTTAACCCTTTTAATATAAGCATTCTGTAGGACTTTGTCATATTAAGATGCTGTGTTTAATATTTTGAAGTGTGGTAACTCTACTCAAAGTCAGAGTTGAGGTAAATCTGAAGTAAATGTGGTAGGTGTCATGTTGACAAAAGTACTGACATTGCTCTTGATGTCCTTATTTTGGAATAGGCTTCTCTAAACCTCTCACATGTAAATTCTTGAAATAACACTATCCCTTTATCCTATGGGAACAAACTTAGTATAAGGCAGGAAGAGAGGAGGGTACGAGTTGATACGAAAGCCCCTGTGACCTTATGTAGGAGTCAGCCAGCAGCAGTGAGAGTTGAGTTTGCGAATTAGAGGGCAGTACCAGAGGCAATGAAGGCATTATTTCTGGAATGCAGGAAAAACCATCAGGGAAAAAGCTGTTTGGAGGTTTGACTCATTAATTAAATTGATAGAGAGGAGCCATATTCTGTTGCTCAGAAAGGCCACAGTGCAGCATATTTTAGATCCACTTTTTGAAAATGTGGTAAACAAAAAGCATGCTGAAATCAGTAACGTCTAAATCACTCAGGTTCAAGGTCCGCAGCTAAAACTAGAACCCATCAGCACTCAGCATCTCATGCCATCTGCATTAGCATCTATGTCTGCATCTTAACATAAGGATAGTTCCTGATCACCGGGAAAGTTAAATCATGCTTAGTATATATAGGACATTTCAAAAGCAAAGTCACTGTCATTAAAAACACTCAAGCAAGCATTTGGAGATAATCTCCTTAAAATATACTTTAAAAAGAACTAACCCACAGATGATATAGTAAGTTCATGATTCCTTCTCAGAGGATTCTAACCAACTAATGTATATAAATACACTCACACATGCTAATGACTGCACAGGCAAATTAGAACGTGGAGGCATTTTTTAAGCACACATATTTGGCCATTGTCTTAGCAACAACTGATTGGCATATCGAGCTCCATAAAGGTTTCTGGAGATGATTTGATGTTGGATTTTTTTTGGAGACTCTGCGTATGTTTAAATGGTAATACTAGATATAGTTTTATGATGACAACTTCCCTGAATATGGAAACTCCTTAATAAAAAAATGGCGAGTGCTTTCCATTTTAATATGGCTTACATATGAATCTTATATGCATAAAAATGACTGTAGCTAACGTCAGGGGTACCAATGACCTTAAGTCTTGTCCTCTTGGTGGCATTTGACACTGTTAATATCCCACCCACCCCTTTTATTCCAGGATTCTGCATTATCTTGCCTTCCTGCCTCTTTGGTTTTTCTTCCTTAGATTGACTAGTGAATTCATCCTTCCCCCTACCCCCACCTCAGTAGAAATGCTAGTTTTCTGTATATTTCCATCTATTACTTTGTTTTCTCCTTATTTAAACTTTTCCCTGAGTGAGCTCATCCATTCATTTTTCCATGCATAAAATCTAGAATCCTTGTTCTCTAGTAATAATCTATCATATACGGTAAGTCCCAACCTCTCTCTTATTGTACATGTTTTTTTTTGCGCTTGCCCTATTCGGTCGTACATAGTTGTCTTGCAGTTAGTTCATCAGACTTTTTAGCTTTCATTTGTCTGTATTGTATGTATTTAAAATTGTGATCAATAACTTTAATTATGTCCTTTAACATGCTAAATTTTGTACCTCTCTCTCTACATTTTCCTTGCCACATTTTTGGTTGCTCACCAGATTGTCCTAGAATTATCTCAAACTACTTCACCATGTGTTAGAGACCTTTTGTGTTTAATAAAAATAGATTAATTAAAAGAATTCATTAGTAACAAAGTACCTAGTAGTTAAATTGTTTATTTCCCTTGTTTTGTTAGAAAATTCATTTAACCATGGCTCAGTGGTTGAGAGTCAACCCATGAATCAGGAGGTCACGGTTTGATTCCCAGTCAGGGCACATGCCCAGATTGCAGGCTCGATCCCCAATAGGAGGCTTTCAGGAGGCAGCCGATCATTGATTCTCTCTTATCATTGTTGTTTCTCTCTCTCTCTCTCTCTCTCTCTCTCTCTCTCTCTCTCTCTCTCTCTCTCTCGCTCTCTCTCGCTCTCCCTCCCTCCCTCTCTCTCCCTCTCTCTCCCTCCCTCCCTCCCTCCCTCCCCCCCTCTGAAATCAATAAAAATATTTTTAAAAAGACATTTACAATTAAATGTTTTTCATATTTTTCCAAAAAAATAGATTTTACATATTTTGTCAATGGTAATCCCTCTAGCCATAGCTTATGTTTATGGAGAAAAAGTTACTTGAATGACCTCCTAACATAGATCCTTATTTTTTAAATTCTACACATACTAGTGTGGGCTTCATTTTCTTGTGATAGAAAATATTCTCCCCCGCCCCCCCTCCTTTATTTTTTCTTTTAGCTCTGTGTCAGGCTACTTTTCTGCTGGGCTGCAGCTAAGCTTTCTTAATTATAACTTTGAGTCTTTGATGGTCAAATTGCACTCATTTAAATGAAATTTAGTGTAGAAAGTACATACCTCATTAAACAGAGCCACTTTAATAAATATTATTAATGGTATAAACTGTTGTGAAAACAAACAAAGAAAGTAAATTGGAAAAGACTAATCAACCATTGCTGTGCTTTAAATTACATTTTCTAAGCCAGTTATGTCCTTGAATTTTCTGTATCTGGTAACTTTAGTTATAACTTTACTCATACAGCTAAGATTGTGAAATAAATACCAGTTCTTTAATTCCACTCTGTGATGCATCATTGATTGGGTTTGAGATGGTGGTCCTTATTGAGTGAGGAATTATCCCCTAAAACATTAATGATTCACTTATCATCAAACGTAACACCAAAAAGGCTTTTGGGTTTTTTAATTTTATGTGTGGGTAAAAATAAGAATTTTTTTTTATTAAACATTGATTTATATTTGTGAAATTTTTATTGAGTGTTCTCCAAATCCTGTTTCTTAAATTGAGTGTTCTTTATATAAAAGAGTATGTATTTGAATCTCAATAATTGTTTATCCTAGTGATTTAATGTGGCTGTTCCAAACCTACACACTGCAGACACCAGGGGAGCCAGAATTCTTACCAGAAATGCTCAAATCATATGCACACAAAAGATTGCCTATACAGTAAGTGAACACTACGGCTGTTGAAGTACCACTATGTCATAGTATATTTTTAAAAACCTTTTCTTCTGGTGCTTTCCAATGTTATATATGCTTATATAAATTAAAAGCAGTATATAAAATATAATATGGAAAGGTAGAACTATCTGTAGTTTCACTATTATGGCAGTCACTGTTAAGAATTACAGCTACAGCCCTAACTGGTTTGGCTCAGTGGATAGAGCATCGGCCTGCAGACTGAAGGGTCCCAGGTTCGACTCCAGTCAAGGGCATGTACCTTGGTTGCGGACACATCCCCAGTAGTGGATGTGCAGGAGGCAGCTGATCGATGTTTCTCTCTCATTGATGTTTCTAATTCTCTACCCCTCTCCCTTCCTCTCTGTAAAAAATCAATAAAATATATTTTTAAAAGAATTACAGGTACAACAGTAATACTAATAATTGCCACAGTGTAAAGAATATTTAATATGTTAGACACTGTTCTCAGTGCTCTTACATATAGTGAGTAATTTAATCTATAACAACCCTATATGGTAGGAACTTTGTTATCACTCTGATGAGGAAACTGGCCTAGAATGCTTACATAAACCTGATATATATTGCTCCAAGTGTTTCCTTTGGGTAGATTGTAACTTAATCTTGTGGTTATTATTTTACTTACAAAAATAGGAACATATTTTGCAATAGTGTTGTAACACTATCAAGTTCAAAACAAACTCCCCCTAACTCTCAACCTGCTCTTCCCCCATTTTACATGTTAATTAATAGCACTGCCATGCAAATTTTCTGCAAGTCCTCTCAATGCTATCTACTTGGAAAAAATAGAAGAAGAAAAAAAACCCTATTCCTAATGTAGCCACTTCTCACTGTTGTTACTACTTTATTTGTAATCCAAGCCATTATCATCTCCTGCCTGGATAACTGCAGGAACCTCTTAGATCATCTCTCCACTTCCAACACACCCACTCTTACAGTCCATTCTCCACACAACAGCCAAAGTAAAAGTCTTAATATGTCAATCAGTTTCAAAGATAACTACATGATAGGATGTCAGTAGAAACTGGAATTTTCCTGACCCACCCACAGTCTGTGGACTATATTGTGTGATAATGCGTATGTCCCTGAGACAGCTGGCTGAGCTTTTGAGAATAGTCTGTGTCCCTGGATATTTTTTTTTTCATTCCTCTGTTCAAAGTTAAATGAACCATATGGGAATTGAACCTGTAACCTTGGCCTAACTAACTGACCTTCTATAAAATCGCCTTTTAGAAATGTATGTTCTACTGTAATGAGATTAGGAGTGCAGTTTCATTCATTCAATAAATAGTGCCAGTGCTGCCCTAATGGCAGCAGAGAGACCAGAGATGTGTAGGACATGGTTTCTGCCCTCAAGGGATTAGGATAAGTGCCCAGGTCACTAATGTAAAGGGAAAAAGTGATGACTGCTGGAAAGGAGGCATTAGCCAGATGCCCAAATGAAGCAGGTGACAGGACAGTGATGCTCCCTGCTGGAGAACGTTACAGATCCATGAAGGATGGACAGGGTTTCCAGGAGGGAGTAGGAGAGAGGTAGTGCTGGGTTGAATGTGTGTGGTGGCATCCGCACCTTGACAGGGATGTTGGAGCGTGGCGAGCACAAGGTCAGGCAGTAGGAGAGGACCTGCAGGAGAAAGTTGATTTGGAGGAGGTACTTAAAGGTGCTACCAAGGCTATCCTACGATGGAATTTGGTAAGGACAATTGAAGATTTCTGAGCTGGGAAGCAATAGAGTCAGAACTCTTTAACAGGACATTCATTTGTCAGCCACTATAGAATGGAGTGAGGAGAGGCTGGGGTTAGGGAAGAGCCCTTTGGAAGTGATGAGCCTGAAGCAGTGGTACCACCTGTGTGGTGAAAGCGATGCAAGGGTGTGCAAGGCTGAAGCGCTCAGGACTTGGTGACTGATTAGATGTGATAGTTAATGAGGGGTCTAAGGCTTGAACCTGGTGACTAGCAGATGGCAGGAACCTTCCAGAAGTTGATAACACGTAGATCAGAGAGGTAATGTAAAGGTAATGAAAACATGACATTGGAACATGGGGGAGAGGCCAGAGCTGGGTGTGAAGATTTGGAAAGTCAGTCACCAAGAGAGCTGTTTGAGCTGGGTGGTGAACGAGGTCATTAGAGAGAGAGTGTAGAAACAAGAAGAAAGACGGCCAAAGGTAGAACTAAGAAAATCCATATTGGTGATCAAGAAAATAAGAGACTATAAAGTAAAGGAGGCATTAGGAGAATGTTCCAGAAATTGAAGAAGGAGGCACTGCTGAAAGGCAGTTAGAAGCAAATTTGCCCTTTTGTCATTGAAAGATGTTGGTGAACAAGAAGGAAAAATAATTCATGTTTTTTTTTTAATTTTATAATTAAACAAATATATTGCTTTCATTTGTATTTCTCACCCTTTTTATACTTAAACTTTCTCTTAAATTGCTCTTAACTTGTTTCTGCTACATACTTTTCATACTCCAGACAGTTAAAAACAAGTCACATTTCTTTATGAAAGGAATGCAGTGCGCCTTCAGAATTGATCACGTGGTGGGTTTTATGGTGATTGCTGTGAAAATGCCACTTAGTGGAGATCACCCATTTAGTCAAGTGTCGATTAAGTGCCTGTTGGGTACCAGGTACAGTTCCATGCACAGTGGTGAGTAACACCAAAGAAAACCCTGGCTCCTGTTGAGTTTCCTTTCTTGTGTGATGACGTTAACAATAAAAAACCCGAAGAAGTAAAATATGCCACATGTGAGATGGAGATATGCACCAGGAAGGAAGCTACAGCACAAAGTGGGAGAGGGAGAGCTGAGGAAGGGGTCTGTGAGTAGAGGGGTCAGTGAAGAAGGCCTGATGGAGAAAGTGTTGTTTGATGAAGCCCAGAAGGAGATGATAGAGGGGGTTGTGTGGATATCTGGGGGATGGCGGGGCTGCAAGTGCAAAGGCACTGAGGTGTTGTGCTTTGAAGGCTAGCGAGGAGGTCACTGTGCAATATGCAAGCAAGAGATCAGAGACATCTCAGGGGCCAGATCGTGGCCCTGTGGTCATACAGACTTTGACTTCTGCTTTGAGTGTGAGGGAATCCCTTGGGTGGTATTGAGCAAATGAGTGAATAAGGTTCATTCTATTACAGGGGAAGAAAAGGGACAATGAAAAACAAAATCTGCTAGGAGGTGTTGATAGTTTGGACTAGAGTAGTACCAGGAGAAATTGTGGGAAGGGATCCGAATCTGAATGTATTCTGAGAGTAAAGTGAATTATATGTAACCGATTAATGTGCAGTGTGAGAGAAAGGAGAGTCAGGGATGAGTCCAAGTTGCTGTGTTAGTTTTCTAGGGCTACATAACAAAATACCACCATCTGAACTGGATGCCTTAAGCAAGGGAGATTCATTATTCTGTAGTTCTGGAGGCCAAAAGTCCAAGGTTAATGTGTCAGCTGAGTTGGTTCCTTCTGAAAGGCTGTGATGGAAAATCTGTTCTGTGCCTCTTTCCTAGCTTCTGGTGTTTTCTGGCAATCCTTGCCTTGTGAAAGCACCCCTGGCTTCATCTCTGCCTTCATATCTTCACATAGCATTCTCCCCACGTGTGTGTCTGTGTCCCAATTGCCCCTTTTTAATAAGGACACTGGTCACATTGAATTAGGGGCCCACCCTACTCCAGAATGACCTCATTAATTAATTAACTAATTGTATCTGCTATGACCCTATTCCCAAATAAGATCACATTCTGAGTTCCTAGGATCTAGGATTTCAAGATAGGAATTTGAGAGAGGACATCATTTACCCCATAACAATTGTCATTAGCTGAGTTGAGCAAGTCTGTGGGAAGATGAGGTTTGGAGGCAGGGAGAGGTCAGCAAAGTGGTGCACATACTAAGTTTGAGGTGCATATCGGAAATGTTGAACAGGCAGTTGCATGAATGAGTCTGAAATTCCGGGGAGGAGTCTGGGCTGGTGATAAACATTTGGAAGTCCAAGGTGTATTGATGATATTTAGAGCTGAGACAAATGAGATCACCAAGTAAGTGAGTTTGAATAGAAGAGGGAGTGCCAAAGACTAAAGGGAAGACTATTAAGTATCGGACCAAAACCAAGGCTCACAAGAATGTTAAATACAAATCCCATGTATGCTTGTAGTTGTGGGGGGAAAAATTACACTTTAATGATGATTTTAACTTATATTTTGAATGTTTACAAAGTCGTATTTTCCTGTGAAATGTAAGAGAGTCAGTCAGAGTATGGGTTGAGTTTCACTGGCTGACATGCTAAAGAAGTCATTGGTGCTGAAATGGAATGTTTTGAATGCCATAAAGAAGTCAAAGGACAGTAATAAAAATAATAAAGAGCTCTTTTCTCAGAAGGAGAAACAACTTTGGAGAACATTGTTTCAGCCCTTGATTTAAGAAGTCATTTTCTAGAAAGCTGGTCATGCCACAGTGCTCTGAGCAGCTGAGGAGTTTGTTCCTTCATCTATTTCTAGTGAGATTGGAGTTTAAACATTAAAATTGTGTGTGTTTTTTTTAATTATCATGGCAATATTATCACATTTTCCACTAATTTGAAAAACAGAAATAACTGTATCACAACTGTTCAGTCCTTTTGGTATATTTTCTTTGTTTTTTGTTTCTTTTTTGTTTTAACCACATGCCTGCTGGTTCACAGGGACACAGATGCCCTACAGGAAGGTGGAGGCGGTGACATAACAATCCACCCAAAGTTTTCTGGGCGTGTCCAGCTAGAATTTCTCTGCGCCATCGCACTTCCTGCTTCCTCTGCCCTCTTTCCTGGCCTGGCTGTCATCTGGTGCTGCTTTGAGACTCAGGGCTGCTGTCACCTTTCCGGAAATGCTCTCTGACTAGTCTGTCCCCACCCTTTCCGGCGTGAAGGCTGAGCCCACACGTGCCACCATACTTCCCCACACCATGGCACTGACTCTGCTGGTCCACAACCCCACTATCTTGGAGGACAGCCTGGTTTTTAAAAATATACTGATTTTTTCAGTACTTTGCAAAGCACCTATGGGTAGCTAGATTTTCAAAAACAAATGTTTGCAGCCCTAACCGGTTTGGCTCAGTGGATAGAGTGTCGGCCTGCAGACTGAAGGGTCCCAGGTTCGATTCCGGTCAAGGGCATGTACTTGGGTTGCGGGCACATCCCCAGTAGGGGGCGTGCAGGAGGCAGCTGATCGATGTTTCTCTCTCATTGATGTTTCTAACTCTCAATCCCTCTCCCTTCCTCTCTATAAAAAATCAATAAAATATACTTTAAAAAATGTTTGCAGACTGTGCATGAAAAAAAAAATTAGCTTCTCTGCCTACTCAGTACACATCTAAACGGTCACAGAACTGATTCCTTATTAGAATTGAAAATGTTTTGTTCAGACTGTGCTATTAACTAACACAATAATATATTATATATATTGAAAAGATTTCTTTTTAAAATATATTCATACAGATTGCTGCTTAAAGGGTTAAATTTGCCCCTAAAAATTATTGCCCAGAACCTGTCAGTTTCTTACTTGAAAGATACCTGAGATATTTACCATGTATGGCTTTAAAAATATATTGACTGTGCCCCTTTGAACTAGCAAGTAAAATGAGGTAATATACCTAAATAAGGTAATATGGAAAAAATGCAGAAGCTTCAAGGGGTTGGGGTCAAGTTGCTGGCGGTAGAAGCAAGATTATTTTTTTAATTTTAATTAGCGGATTGTTTTGGAAAGAGGAGTTGGTTTTTTTGTGTGTGTTTATTTTTTTTAACCTGGCATAATTGAGGTATATAATGTGAGTCTGGGTGAAGAGAGTTGAGAAGTATTATAATTGTTCTTTGATGCCAAAAAATACTTTCATGATGACTCAGCTCAAGAGTCTTCTTCTCCCTGCCCACCTTGAATACAGATTTTTGGTAAACTTTCTCGAAAACAGGGGAAGGAAGAAAGCAAATGGTGGTTACTTATTATTTTTCTATACTGAGAAGAGGCTTTGCTCTACAGAATGGTTGATAGCATGACTCCACTGATAGAGTTTACCTTCATTATATAAGTCCTCGTATGTGACCATTACATACTGAATTCATTTATGGAACCATGATTTATGATAACGTTTGAGCTAAGCTGTACAGCATATCAAATGTGCCATTACAGTGTAGTTACTTAAATCTTTATTTCTTTCCCCAGCTCTACGTTACGAAGTGTTTCTACTGGATCCTCAAGACCTTCCAAGATATGTTTGGTGTGTGGAGATGAGGCTTCAGGCTGCCACTATGGGGTAGTAACCTGTGGCAGCTGCAAAGTGTTCTTCAAAAGAGCAGTGGAAGGTAAATGTTCATGTGGGTGTTCCTTTTACACATTTTTCTCCAGTGTGTAGACTTGCACAGTTAACTCTATAGCATTATTGGGAAATAATGCAAAAAGTATTTTGATGTTATCTGTCAGTAATATACCGTATAGTAATAATGCCTTCTCTAAAATGCACCTGAAGATTTTCCACCAAGCAATATTTAATGGGAATGATTTGAAAATGTGAATTTTTTGTGGTTGGTTGGTTGTCTCAGTCTGTTTTTCAGTGAGACATAGAAAAATAATTCTGTCATAAATTTCATTTGTATAATCTGAAAGAGCATTTGTAGTAAGAACACACAAAATACATCATTTCTGCCTTTTCCGCATTTGTGTACAGTTGACTCTTGAACAATGTGGGGGTTAAGGCACCGACCCCCTGAGTAGTTGAAAATCAGTGTAACTTTTGACTCCCCAAAACTTTACTAATAACCTCCTGTTGACCTTACTAATAACATAAAAATGTGTCAATTAACACATCTTTTTATGTTATATACTGCATTTTACAGTGTAGTAAGCTTGACAAAAGAAAATGTTAAGGTTCATAAGGAAAATACATTTATAATATTTATTGGGGGAAAAAAGTCCACAAATAAGTGGACCGTTGCAGTTCAAACCATGTTGTTCAAGGGTCAACTGTATGTATGTATGTATGTGTGTGTGTGTGTGTGTGTGTGTGTGTATTTATAGCAGATTAAAACATGAATATGAGGATCACTTCTGTAATTTAGGTTGTGTTCAATGCAGAATGATTTCATTTCACAGCTACTTCAGATGCCAGGACCCTGTTTCAGTCCTACCTTTATTCCTACTGAAGGTTTCCAAATGGCTAATTAAATTAAAAATTTGAGATCCTCTTTTAAAATGAGTTTTTCTTCTGTCCAAGTAATTATACTTCCTAAGGAGAAACAGTCTTTTAGTTTATTTTTGCCTTCATCACCCTCCCTTATAAGCAATTAATTAACATCAAACTTAGGCCAGATGGTTTTATTAATGTTGACTGCTATGGCTGGTCAAAGTGTAGAATTTTTGCTATTAGTAAAAGTAATATTGTATAATTGACACTTATTTTCACTAACGAGTTCAACATGAAGATTCCCGCAGGTTTATTTCTCAGGGCAGTTTTCTGAGAGATAAATGGATGCTTTGGAGATGTAAGCATACATGACTCAAATGTTTCACCTTTGTTTTGCTGGAGACCACAAGGTAATATCCTTAATTCTGAGATGAAAAAGCTGACTGATTAATTATTTCTTTGCTTCTTGAGTTTCTTTTGCATTATTGAATTGATATTACATGATTTTACATTATTTACATTATTAAGTATTTAATAGTCCCTAAAACCAGCACTGAATCGATAATATGAGTTCCATATTTCTTTCTCCATATATGATCTCTGGGTAACAAGTGACAGAAAATTCAACACAAACTGGCTTGAGCATCAATGTAAATTCATTGTCCCATACAACTTTTCCTAGTATAGGCGTGGCTTCAGGCAAGCCATGGTCTTAAGCCAGGTCATTAAACTCAATCCCATTCTCTCTGTTGCTGGACTTTGCTCTTGCTGTGTTCTCATGCAAGTTCTGTCATTGTGATGAGACTGCCAGATCACCATCAAAAAGAGGTTTTCTGTTCCCAGCAGTTCTTATAAAACCCCACTATTGAATTTAACTTGACTCACATGCTCCACTCCAAAGCAGTCTCTGTGGCTGGGGAATGCAGTGATCCAATAAGCTAGTTCTGGCTGGAGTCAGCCAACTTGAACTTCCTAGACTGAGTGTGGGAAGGGAAAAGGTGGGTGCTGTTACCAGAGGCTGATTTCAAGAAAATAGGAAAAGTTAATTTGTACAATACTGAAATCAGTTTATTTTTGAAGCCCCCCCCCCCCCCCCCGGCCTCTCTCTCTTTTCTTAACTATCTGATTAGCTCAGTAGAAGATCAATAGGTGAAATTTACTTCTGGTACCTTTCTAATTCCTCCCACACCTTCCAGTTCAAGAACCCCCCTCCTAGGCTCACTAGTTAGAATAATGTGATATATAAAAATAAAGTGACATAAAAAGGGCATTTGGAGATATTCAGTGGGAAGCTCGGTGTTGTACTACCTACAGGTTGGCCTTCATATCAGAGCCCACTTTCCATTATTTATAGAATCTGCCCTTGTCTGCTTCTGAAGCAGAAGGTTTTCTATAAGTTTTTGTCTTAGTTTTTGTGTTTTGTATAGTTTGTATGGAAGTAGCTGAGGAAAGAGGTTTTTTTTTTTGTAACTGAGGTATACATGAATATAGAAAAACCTAATTGTCCATCATTTTCCTGCATTGGAAAGCTGATTAGTAATGGATAATGAAAGTTGATGAGTGCCTCTTAAGACTTTTACTAATATAGCTTATTTACTATTTATTTGGCAATTAGCATTTTAAGGCTTACATGCATGAAACAAGGCTGTATATTTTAAATATAAACTTTCTGTTTTACTTTGTGTGTCTCTGTGTTTCTGAGAGACAAAGAGAATAAATATGTGAAAAATATGGCTAGCTTTGTGATTTAATAATAACAAATCATTTATTAATACTTTATACAGTTTGAGGCACTAATTTCACAAAAGTATGGTCTATGAATATTATGTTTATTCCCCTTTTACATATGAACACATTTGGGATAAGACGCAATCAACTAATCTATTCAGAATCATAAGGCCAAACCTAAAGCCATGTTAGTCTTATGACTCCTAACCTAGACTCAACCTAAAGTTTCACAACTCCAAATCTCATAATTTGTTATTTCTATTTTCCATAATTCTCAAGTTCATGAAAATTCTACCTATGTATCATTTGTTCATGCCTACGTAATGGTAATGAAGGAAGTGATATAAGCATTGTGAAAACACAATTTGGTACACTTACTGTGCACACATGGGTTAAGTGTGTGCCTGTGTGTACATAACATATACAAATGTGTATATGTTTTGAATATTTACTAAGTTTGTTTTCTGGTTTCCCTTGATAACCTGAAGCTCCTCTGATTACAAAAGCAGAGAATTCTAAGGAGCAGCAGGTACAGGGAGCTGAGATGAGAGGAGCCCAGTGAAGACGAAAGGAACTAATACCACCAAGGGCAGAACCAGATATGACCACTGGAGAGGAGACAGGAGGGAGCACATCACAGTCGGAGCTCTGAGTTTATTGGCTTTAGGCCTTATGCCCAAGCACAGCACTGTAAAGCTTGGTAATAGCATAGTGGTGACTGTGTAAGGAGACTACAGATCATTTTTTTAAGTGTAAATCATGTTATTTGTTCTGTTTAATGGGATATATATGTGTACTTAGTTTTTTCTTCTTAAGCATCTATACTAATAATAGCCTAGGTGGTCATCATGCCTTTACACCAAGATGCCCTCACGCCATTACAATCCCACAGCCCATCACCAGGAGGCTGCATGCACAGCGGGCGCACAAGAGTGGGCGGGGACTTGATGCTGCATGTGTGGCACGGAGGCGGGACCCCTGGTTCCAGCCTACCTCTTTGGGACCATTGAGGAGCCCCAGATGGGTGGGCGGAGCCTACCGCTTTGGGGCGATTGATCACAGGGCTCCCGCACTGTGAGAGGACACAAGCCAGGCTGCCCTCCCCTCAAGTGCACGAATTTCATGCACCAGGCCTCTATTTTAATATAAAAACACTCAGAAGTCTCATCAGAATACATTTGCCAATAGTGTCAGTTAAAAGCCATGTTATTTTACCTTACATATGGAAGTTTGTAATTTCTTTTTAAAATTTTACCTGCTCATTTGCCTTGAAGTTTTTCAGTACCTTTTTTGTATTTGCAAAAAAGAGTGTGTGTGTGTGTGTGTGTGTGTATTATTATTAAATTGGGTTCTCCTTTGTGGTGGAAACTGAACTGGCTTTAGGGTCAGAAGACTTAGTTTTAATTTCCGGTTCTGCCACTCACTAGGTGTGAGATTAAGGCAAGTTATTTAATTTATCTGGGTCTCTGTTTCTTTGTATATAAATGGGAAAAGTAGTATTTCCCTATCTTAATATTGCTGTGGAAAATTACATGAAAAAAAATGGGCAGATTTTATGGTTGTAAAATGAATTTGAAGTATTAGATCTTTATTATTTTCTAAGAACAAAATGATAAAGTTTTTTGGTCATGTCTGTGCAGAGAGATCCTGTTAATGACACAGTAATTTTGCACTGTTGGGTCTTCACTTGTAAACCCTTCATTTTTTCTTCATTAAATTTTCATTTTTCCTGTAATATGTTATTTTGTCCATAAAGCCACCCTTTGAGGTTGTGACATAAAACAGTCAAAACTAAATGACCTCCCCCCCAAAAAAATCAGTAAATGAGCAATGAAGCTGCCTCTAGAATTTATGCAAGCCCTTTGACTTCTAATCTGTAATGTGTAATTCTAGTCTTGATTTTTTACTGTCTCAGTCTTTCTCCAATTGTAAATTGCCATGTGTTTCATCTCATGTGTATTTTACTTTGTGATCCCTCAATGAACAGAGCTGACGACATTCAGCACACTATTTTATAACCTAATTTCCTTTTGGGATAGTCAGTATATAAGCTGTATCTGGAAGACACAGCCACCACAAATCATTGAAGAGTTATAAGGCTATAAAAGAAGAGAGTTCATTATTATGTAAAGTCAACTGTATGTATATGTTTGTAAGCAGACCTGTTACACTAAAGAGGCCAGAGCTTGCTAAGGTCAGCCAAATTGTAGCATGTAAGTTTCCAACTCTGACATTTCCCTTTAAGTAAGAGACTTATAAATCTATTTCCTGAAATGAAATTGCTTTAAAACATATAATTGTAGATTAATCTCAGGGTTCCTCGCATAGAGGTGGTATTTTAAGACAACCAGTCTGTGATCCTATACCTCATTCCTTTTGCATGCAGTTCATAGGCTTAAAAAATCTTTACATTATAGATTATTCCATGGGGAAAATGTTTTTAAGAAAATGTAA